CGTCGCAGCACTCGCAGTCGTCGCAGCAGCAGTCCCAGCACCAGCCGTGGGCTCGTCTCCCCCCGGGCTGGCCCGGCACCTCCGTAGGTGGTGGCCGTGGTGGCAGCCCGCGCAGCTTGGCGTCTACCGGCAGCTCCGTTGGTGTGACCTGCCAGTACCAGCTTCAGACCGGGCCTCTCCGTGCCACTCTGTGCCGCCGCCCGCACCCGACCGCCCGCTGTTTCCGCCGCCTCGACGATCTCTTTCGTCGTCGCTTTGGCCCGACCCCGGACCTCCCCGACTGGCACAGCCTGCTTCGCCAGGGCGTGCCGGTCTTTGAGTTAGATATGGATCAGATAGGTGCTGCTTTGCATGCCTTGTATGCTGACGCTTCTAGTGTTGCTGGATCTTATTACCCTCTGTACTCTAGTTTAGGCGTAGCACCTTTGTGTAGCTTAGCCTCCCCTGCTGCGTCAGGCATAGGACTGCATAGTTTGCCTAGCCTAGGTTCTGCACCGTCTCTGTTCCTGGCCTCCGCTACTGCCTCGTTGTCCTTCACTCTCGACTCCGGTGCTTCTGCCTGTTTCTTCCGCGACCGCTCCACGCTCACGCCGCCTGCTGCACCTGCTGTTGTCGCTCTCGCCGACCCCTCAGCGGGTCCTGTCAACGCTCGTCGCTCCACTTCCCTTCCGTGTCCAGCAGTTCCCTCGGGCTCTCTTACAGGCCTCCACGTTCCCTCGTTCTCCCGGAACCTGGTTGGTGTCGGCCTTCTTCAGGACCTCGGCATCACCACTACGTTCCCTGGGCACGAGCGGTTCACTGTCTGTACCGAGGCAGTCTCAGGTTCCCCCCTTGCGACGTTCCCCCGAGACCCGGTATCCGGTCTGTTTACCTTCGACACCGCTTCCCCCCCGGTTGGTGCGTCCTCCCAGGTCACTGCAGCTTGCTCGTGTCGGTCCCTCACACACCCGTCCCTTCTGTGGCACCACCGCTTAGGTCACCCTGCTCTCCTGCGGGTGCGTCTCACGTCTCAGCACGGTCGCGTCTTAGGCCTCCCCGAATCGCTCCCCTCACTTCCCCCCTCGACTGCGCCACTGTGCACGCCTTGCGTCGAGGGCCGGCTCCGCCGTGCCCCTCACTCCTCCTCGCTTCGCCCTGCTACTGCTCCCCTTCTGACCCTGCACCTGGACGTTTGGGGCCCAGCCCCCATCCCCGGACCGCGCAGTGAGCGCTACATTCTTGTGCTCGTCGACGACTATTCGCGCTACACCACGGTGTTTCCCCTGGAGCGGAAGGCCGACATGCCCGACGTTCTTCTCCCGTGGGTTGTGGCTGCGCGTCTTCACCGCGGTCTCCCCGTGTTGTGTCTCCACTCTGACCGTGGCGGCGAGTTCGCCTCTGGTCGGCTTGGACAGTTCTGTCGTGCGGAGGGCATCACCCAGTCTTACACCTTGCCGGACTCGCCATAGCAGAATGGGGTTGCTGAGCGCCGCATCGGTTTAGTCATGGAGGTTGCTCGTACCTCCATAATTCATGCCGATGCCCCCCATTTTCTGTGGCCGTTCGCTGTCCGCTACGCTGCTCACCAGCTTAACCTGTGGCCACGTTCCCAGCGGCCGCAGGTTTCGCCGACCCTCCTTCGGACCGGGTCCCCCGGTGACGCGTCTGCGTTCCACGCTGGGGTTGCCTTGCTCACGTTCGTGCCTCTTACACGGACAAGCTCACTGCCCGCACTGTCCCCTGTGTCTTCCTCGGTTTCCCCCTTGACTCGTCTGACTGGCTGTTCTACCACCCGCAGTCTCACCGCTTCCTTCACTCTGATGATGTCACCTTTGACGAGTCTGTCTCCTTCTACCGTCGCTTCCCTCACCGAGATCTCCCGGTTCCCCCCCCCCTTGTTCCTTGCTCCCTCTCTCCCGGTAGCCCGTGCTCCCCTCCCGCCTTGTCCTGCCCCGTCTGGTGTCTCCCATGTCACTCCCCTCCCGTCGGTTGTCCCCGTTGAGGAGTCTGCTGACTCTAGTGGTCCCCCCGGCCCGTCCTTGCCGCGTCCCCATTCCCCGGTGTCTCCGCCTCCGTTGTCGCAGCCGCCGCCGTCGCCGCCGCCGTCGCAGCCGCCGCCGCCGTCACCGCCGCCGCCGCCGCTGCCGCTCTTGGCCTCTGGGGGTGCTGGCGTTGAGGAGGGTGTTCGTCCTGCGGCCCCTGGCGTGGTCTGTGTCGGCGGGCCTGGGGGTGCCGCTGGTGCTGGAGGGGGTTCTCGCTCTGGGGGTGTTGGTTCTGGGGGTGCTGCCGTTGAGTGTTCTCCTGGTGGTCGTCGTGCCCCTGCCAGTCCGTGGGTCGAGCATCAGCCGCCGCAGCAGCCGCCGCAGCCGTCCCCGTCGGTCTCCGCTCTTCGCCTGCTCGGCCTTCCCTCTCTCGACCGCTCGACGGTGTCTCCCCCACCACCTTCTCACCTTCGTGTCTCCGGCCCTGTGTTCCCGCCGCCGGACTCGTCGCCGGCCCGTCTTGCTCCTCGTTCCCCTTTTGTGTCCCCTCCACTGCCTCCTGACCCTACACCTTCGTCCCATGTTTGGTCTCGCCGTCCCTCACGTGCTCGTCCCGCCTCTCCTTTCCTGCGCTCCCACCCTATGTTGCTCCGTTCCCACTCGTCTCGTCCTCCCCTCCTCCCGTCGCCTCCTCCCTCGTCGCTTGTTGTTGCACCTCCCCCGCTGTCTGACTACCTCCGTGCCGCTCGTCCCCTTGTCTCTCGGGCTCTTGCCTCTCTTGTTACAGACCCGTCTGTTCCTGTCTCGCGCCTTGACGCCCTTGTCGTGGCTATTGCTGACTTCGCCTCTACCCGCCGCCTTGACTACGCTACCGCTCTGGTCTCTGACCCTGCCCGTCCTCCGTCCGTCGGGGGTGCACCTGCCCTTGGCAGTGACGTTCTAGAGGACAGGCACTACGAGCTTGCTTTCCTTTCCGAGGCCGCTCCCCATCTCTGCTCCATGCTCCTAGTCCCAAAGGGTGACCCAGACGCCTTCGACATCCCGACCCCTCGCACTTAAGCTGAGGCCACCTCGGGACCCTGGGCCTCTCAGTGGATAGCTGCCATGGAGCAGGAGATGGCATCTTGGAGGTCCACCGGCACTTATGTCGACACAGTTCCCCCACCTGGGGTGAACGTAGTCGATGGTCGGTGGCTCTTCAAGGTGAAGCGCCCCCCTGGAGAGCCACCTGTCTTCAAGGCGCGCTACGTGGCCAGAGGCTTCAGCCAGCGCGAGGGGGTTGACTTCTTCCAGACCTTCGCCCCGACCCCGAAGATGACCACTCTTCGGGCGCTGCTACACGTAGCAGCACAGCGCGACTACGAGCTTCACTCCCTCGACTTCCTACTGCGTTTCTTCAGGGCAGCCCACACGAGCAGGTCTACATGCGCCAACCTTAGGGCTTCACTGGTACGTTCTCCCCTGGGACCCAGTGGCTTCTCAGGCGCCCGGTCTACGGCCTGCGCCAGGCTCCCCGCGAGTGGCACGATACGCTGCGTGCCACGCTAGCAGACCTGCAGTTCTTTCCGTCTTCTGCTGACCCCTTGCTGTTTGTGCGTTCCGGCCAGACTACGTTCTACATCCTTGTCTACGTAGACGACCTGGTCTTCGCTACTGCTGACAGGGACGCACTGGCCTCCGTGAAGGCCGAGCTGCTGAAGAGACACACCTGCACTGACCTTGGAGAGCTGCGTCGCTATCTTGGCCTGCAGATCTCTAGGGACAGAGCAGCACGCACCATCACTCTGACACAGTCACACTTGGTGCGTCAGGTCCTTCAGAGGTGTGGTCTTCAGTTCTCCTCCGCACAGCCCACACCTCTACCTGCAGACCATGGGCTCTCCGCTCCCGTTCCCGAGGAGCCAGTAGAGCCCAGCGGCCCCTACGCAGAGCTGGTGGGTTGCCCTCGTGTACCTGATGACTTGCACTCGCCCAGATCTCGCATACCCTCTCAGCATCCTGGCTCGTTTTGTGGCTACATGCAGACACCGACCACAGCAGTGGTTGGCCGCTAAGAGGGTTTTGCGATATCTAGCAAGTACATCAGGCATGGGGTTAGTGCTATGAGGACGCAGGCCGGTGGTCCTCACTGGGCACACAGACGCTTCTTGGGCAAACGACTCTGCGACACTCAGGTCATCTCAGGGCTACTGTTTTAGCCTTGGTTCGGGTGCTATCTCTTGGAGATCCACTCGCTCGTCGTCTGTGGCTCAGTCTAGCTGTGAGGCTGAGATCTATGCCGGTGCCATGGCGGCACAGGAGCTCCGCTGGCTGACCTTCTTGCTCACTGACTTAGGTGAGCGGCCTAGCTCGGCCTTGGTTCTGTACGCTGAGAACAGGGCCATGATTCTCCTGTGCCAGGAGCCTCGACTTGAGGGCAGAGCGAAGCATATCCAGCTGCGGTACTTCCTCCTGCGCGAGCTACAGCAGCGCCGCCAGGCCCGCGTAGTTCACTTGGCCTCAGGTGCCAACACAGCTGATATCTTTACTAAGGCGCTTGCGCCTAAAGATCACCAGCGGCACTGTGTACAGCTTGGTCTTGTTCCTTTAGCTACTCACCTGTTAGGACCCTGATTGTGTACTCTCTATTATATATACCTGTCTGACTGGCCTTGTGGCCTTACCTCTTGTGGCTGGACTAGTAGTGCCGCCCTGGCTTGCTTTAGTCTTGCTTGTACTCTTGCTGACTGGTCTCGGGACCCCTACCTCAGTGGTTGGACTAGTAGTCCCGCCCTGAGATGTGTGCTTCTTGCTTAGCACCACCCCTTCTCTAGCCTAGGGGGTGTGTCAACTTATATATATGCTGTATGTAGAAGTTATAGGCTAGCATAGGTGTGTGCTTCTAGTGACTACAACCCCAACAGGTATATGTTCTAGGTTTCTCACACTGGTCATACCATTCTCTCTTTCTAACAGACCGTTCTTAGGTTTCGGCGATACCGTGTCTGGTCAGGGTAGAACTAAAAGTACTCTAACTGCAGCAGGGTAAAAACAATCTTACACTTTTTGATTAAGAGTCACAAAAATAATGCCCTTACAAAATCAGGGTGAACCTGAAAAGCGGCCACTGGCAAGGGCAATCAGGGTGAAACACCCTTCAAATTTGAGGCCTGACCCCGACCCTGAAAAGTATGGGTAGTCACAAGGGGGGCCCTGAGTCATCAGCCCTCCCTAAACCAATCTGAGGGCCTGGTTCTAGACAAGGCAAAACGGCATGTTAACATCTGAACACGCTACGGCTAAACAACGGGTATATGTACTTTGTACAAAGGTGCAGTGCAGTTCGCCTGCACTGATGCTCATTCCACGTAATCAATGTCATCAGTTATTCCAACCTGCACACACCCACCACAAAAAAATGCTCAAACATAAGCGCAAGACATCATTCTTTCCTCATCCCCCCTTTCAGCGCAAGGCATCATTTAGCCAAATAATGTATTACCTCCTTTCCATTCACAAAGCCCTCCCTCACCTCTTGATACAGCTGGGCCAGCTTCTCAGACGCCTCTGGGAACTGGTCGTTGCACCACTGCTGCAGGGAAAAAATGTTCTCTGACAAGGGCCAGGGGGCAGTGGAGAGAGGTGAAAGAATGTTGGGCGCTGAGTAACTCACAGCAGAAGCAACAGAGTGGTCACGATTCACAAGCGGAGTTTCTGTGTGGCCAGATACCAAGACAGAGCAAGCTGGAAATTGAGGGACGAGCATGGGTGCATGCAGGTCACCTGTCCATCGGTTGGCAGCATCCTTGGCTATCCGGGTGACTTTGGCTGCACGCACAAGACATGCACGGGACATGCGGTGAGACACGGGCGAGAGAACGCGAGGTAGTAGTAGGATGGCAAAAGTGAGGCAAATCTAGTGAAGATAAGAGGGAAAATGGTGATCACAGAGAGACACATCAGCGAGAGGAGAGGGCAACAGAAGCATGCGTACTATGATACAACAAAATAAATAAAAAAGGGTGACAGGGCAGAGCAGGGAGAGAGGAAGGCAGGGGTGGCAGCAGAGTGACCCACTCTTGTGTTCCAGCAGCTCTGGGTCATTCTCCGCAAACTCCTCCAACTCTTTCTGCTCCACAAGGGGAGTGCAGAAGCACACACATGGGGGCACACAGAGATTAATTCAACGGAACGAGCGGCAAACACAGGAGAATGGGTGGTGAAAGTGCAGGTCAAAGTGGGTGCGGTGAGACTGTGGCAGGAATGAGGGAAAGAGCAGAGAGAGGACGAACGAAGCCATGCAGCAGTCAAAACACCAGGACCATCAGAACATGGCTCCTGCCTTCTTCACACTCCCACTCCCTCATACAGCTCCACGTCGCCCTGCCCTGGCCCCACCCGCATGTCGCTGCGTGCGCACACACCTTGAGCTTCTGGTTCTTCGCCTGCAACCCAGCCAGGTCCGCCAGGGCCCTACTCCTGTCCTCCTGCCAGCGGGCAACATGTGTACCCGAGACACGGGAGTGGGGCGTACAAGACGGTACGTGATGCGACGGCGCGGGGGATATATGACATGAAAACGCAGCGCAAAGGACTGACTGCAAGGAAGTGGGTGGGGCTCAAGGCGCCAAGGTGAGGTGCGCAAGTGTATGCAGTGACATTACTGCTGTGAGAGGTGCAGCAAGGACGAGGGCGGCATGGCTCTTACGGACTCCTGTCGGCCCGCCTGGGCGCTCTCCAGCCTTTGCTCCAGCCGCGCCTTCTTGGCCTGCAGCTCGCCCACCTCCGCTGTCAGCTGGGCCTCCGCTTGCCGCAGCTGCCAGGGGTGGCATGGGGGGTGCAGGGCGAAGTTGTGACAGAGTGGCTGGGAGTGAGTTCAGTTGAGCATGCAGGTGGGACATGCGGTCGCGGGAGATGAAGGGAAATGCAAGGCACTGTTCAGGGGTTGGGCAGGGGTAGAGGACCAGGACTGAAGAGCGCGCCATGCACAGCCATGGGAATGGTGACGCAAACGATGAAGACAACAGTCTTTGGTAGTGATATGTGAGGGATGAATGGGAGGATGGGGACTAACCTTGTTTCCTGCACTGCTCGGCAGACTCCAGAAGTACACCTGGATAAAGTGGAAGGAGAGAGAAAAGAGAGACATGGACAGGCAAACTTAGCAGGAAAGCAGCGGGGATGTAAGTCGGTCAAAATGGCATCGTCATCGTTCAAACAGCTGGAAGTCACGGACTTCGCATAGCAGAGAGAACTAGGTTCAAGCACATAGCAGTAGAGGGGGGAGCAGATGACCGCGAGGGGTGGCAGAAATGAGAGGTGGTGGGCAGCCAGGAGCATAGTGCAGCAAGGTTCAGAAAAGGCGAGCAGCGCGTGGGTGGGTGGTAGGCACGGACGGAGGTGCCGATCTTGTCACGGAGCACGAGGTCGTCGTCCACGAGGCTCTGAATCACGTCCTTCACCGACTGGCTGATCACACCGCGCTTCGGCCCCATGCGCTCCAACTCCTTCAGCTGGCACGAGGGAGAGGAAGGGGGAAGGCGAGGTGCGGGGGTGTGGAGAGATACGGGCGAGACACGGAGAAGAGGGAGGGGAGAATGATACATATACTGGGTTTAGATTCAGCGGGAAATGCACGACCGAACGGTATAAAAGAGAAGTGATGCAGAGGGCGTGAGAGCGCGAGCTCGCATGGCGCGTCGCTGACGCACGAGGAAGAAGTCCTTGGACTCGTAGAAGATCTCGAGCATCTTCTCGCGCTTCTCCTCCAGCGACAACCCGCGCTTCTTCGCCTGCGCCGCCTTAGACTGGCAACGCGCACGGCACGGGTGAAAGGTAGGGCAGGCAGGGATGGCGATGAATGGAGAATGAAGAGGGGCGAATGAGGTGACCGCGAATGCTCTGTAGTGGCATTAATAACATGCTATTGAAACGCGGCTTCATACTGCTGAACGTAATAACGAGCACGCGTACCATAGTGGAGGAAATTCGCGAAGCGCACACACGCGTAGACGGGCGAAATGTCACACTAGGCAATGCTGCACGCACTCTGTATGTACGCGATATCTACAGCTACCTGACCTGGCCTGGATGCACTTGAGGAGAAGGTGCAGGCAGTGGCAATAACAGGTGGTGGTAGGCTTTTGGGGAAGATATGGTGGTGCTGTAGTTGATAACCCGTGGAGGGAAGGAAGGACAGGTTGAACCACGGGAATGCCGTGACGCTGACGATAATTCTCCCACACAACTACAGATGAACGTCCTCGTACAAAAATAGGGCGTTTACCACGAACATCATACTTCTTGGCATCTATTTTATTCGGAGGTAAAGTAAAAAAAAATTACCTCCAAAGCTATGTAAATGATATTAAGATTCTAGAATGCCTCTAATCAGCAGAATCCCGTAAAAGTCTAGCCACCTAGCGCATAAGGCATTAGGGTGGAATGTCAGCTGGATTGAACACCGTGACGGAACTCCGTTTAGCGGATTCTCATTAGCGGGTCCTCGGGTGCTGTCCCATGTGCTTCAAGGGAACTCCCCACCACAGCCGCAGTCGAACGAGTGACTGCAGGTCCTCTTTCCCTTTCCTTCGCCACTCCTATGTCCAGTCCACGACCCGAGCGACTCCAGTCCAGTCCTGTGGCCATGGCGGGTCAAGTCAAAACGGACACACGACCCCTTTTCGACGGATCCGCGACTCCCCTTCTCCCTGCCACTTCTCTCGTGCCGTCGATCGACAGCGACGAGGTGCTCCCTCCCTGTCGCCCCGCGCTGCTTCCTTGCTCCTGGCTCTCCCTGCGGCGAGAAACCAGGGAGCAAGGGAGCGAGGCGCTGTCTGTCGGTCCGTTTGGCCGAGCCCGATGGGCGCTAGCGCCATGGGCCACTTTATTACGCCGTGCGCGCCGGGTGCTGCATTCACCGCGCCCGCCCTTGTTCCGAGCTCCACCGCGCGAGCTCTGCCAGAGGCGCTGGCCATCACCTTCCCATTTTGCCACAGCCCCACGCGGTGTCCTGCCCGCAGCGTCGCGTGCCTCACGGTGTGGCGGAAGGGGAACGAGAGGCGAGTGAGAGCGGCGTACTTGAGCCTGCCTCGCTGCGGCGTGTGAGCCAGCGGCGTGTGAGCCCGCCTCGCAGCCCGGCTGTCGCCATGCCGGAATGTGCGCTGTCACGCCGCGCTACGTGCCCGCTTGTCGCGCTGACGCGTGGTAGCAGCACGCCCGCGCAACATCTGACCGGAACGCCAGTTGAGGCAAAACACTCGCGTCGACTCAACGGCTCTCGTCGCGACCATGCCGCCGTGCTGCTCCTGCTGCCGTTGCTAGTGCTGGCGGCAGCGCAGGCAGCGTCAGCGACGGACGACAGCGGCAGCAGCAGCAGCAGTCGGCGGTTCATCATCGCGCCTCTGCGCGGGTTGGACGAGCGCATCGACGTGTTCTCGCTGCCCGAGCGCCTGCTGTTCGCCGGCACGGCGACACTACCGCCCATGGGCGACGCGAGTGACGGTGGCCATGGCAGCAGCGACAGCCACAGCAGTGCGGCAGGCATCGGCAGTGGCGGTGGCGGTGGCGGCGGTGGTGGTGGTGGTGGCGGTGGCGGTGGCGGCGGTGGTGGTGGTGGTGGTGGTGATGGTGGTGGTGGCGGTGGTGGCGGTGGTGGTGGTGGCGGTGGCGGTGGCGGTGGCGGTGGCGGTGGCGGTGGCGGTGGCGGTGGCGGTGGCGGTGGCGGTGGCGGTGGCGGTGGCGGTGGCGGTGGCGGTGGCGGTGGCGGTGGCAGTGGCGGTGCTGGTGGTGCTGGTGGTGCTGGTGGTGCTGGTGGTGCTGGTGGTGGTTATGGTGGTTATAGTGCTGATGGTGGTGATTCTGGCGACAGTAATGAGAGTGGTGATAACGGGGACAGCAGCAGTGGTGAGAACGCGGAAGGAGGAGAAGCAGCCGAGGCAGGCAGTGGTGGAGAGGACGGCAGCAGCAACGGCAGCAGTGGCAGCGATGCTGGCACAGGGGGCAGTGAGGGGGACGGAGGCGATGCTGACGCCATCCCCAGCAGCAGCAGCAGCAGCAGCAGTGCCAGTGGGTCTGACAGCAGCGGCTCATCCGCGTCTGCATCTGCAGCGGAGGGCGACCCCAGTAAGGCCATAGAGCAGCGCAACGAGGCGGCCATCACACGCATCCGATGCACGGCGCGGGCGCAAGAGGGGGTCATGCGCGGCGAGGGAGGTGCGGGGGATGGGGGAGGAGAAGGAGGGGCGGCTGCAGCAGTAGCTCCTTCTGCCGCCCCTGCTCCGGCTCCTGTTGCCGCCGTTGACCCGCTGCAAGTGCTGTTTGTGAGTGAAGGGGTGACTGTTGATGTGCACATGAGTCCCCGCATTGTCAGCACTGCATGCACTCCCTTGCTGTCACTGCCTGTAAGCTTCAAGCAGCCCGCTGCCCTCACGTCTGGTGGAGAATGCCGTGCGTGTCAATCCCCACGCCCTCCATCACCACTGCTCCCTCCCACCAGGTGCAGCAGCTGGCGCGCGCAGGGGCAGTGGCAACACGGTCTACAGAGGTGAAGGCAGTGGTGCGGGGGAGAGCGGCTGTGGGGTTTCCTGGGATCAGCCAGTACAGCGAGGTCAACAGCGGCACGCCACCCCGATACAACAACTCGGTGGTAAGGAGACAGCATTGCATGGGGACAGTGATCATGGTTGGTGGAGATAGGTGAGGAGGATGGCAGCTCCTGCTGTCGCTCAGACCATGCATCAGCTCCTGCTGTCGCTCAGACCATGCATCAGCTCCTGCTGTCGCTCAGACCATGCATCAGCTCCTGCTGTCGCTCAGACCATGCATCAGCTCCTGCTGTCGCTCAGACCATGCATCAGCGCCTGCTGTCGCTCAGACCATGCATCAGCGCCTGCTGTCGCTCAGACCATGCATCAGCGCCTGCTGTCGCTCAGACCATGCATCAGCGCCTGCTGTCGCTCAGACCATGCATCAGCGCCTGCTGTCGCTCAGACCATGCATCAGCGCCTGCTGTCGCTCAGACCATGCATCAGCTTCACTGTGGTGCGTGGAGACGCCTCAGGACTAGCTTCACTGTGCTATTAAAGTCTCAACCGGCCTCCCTTGCATGCATTTTTCTGTTCACATATGTCGCTTTCTGTTGCGCGTGCTGCAGGTGCGTGTCACCCCACCTGATGGCGGCTTGTGTGTCGGCAATGGGTATATCCTCCAAACCGTGAACACTGGTGAGATGGTCTCCATGCAAGCACCGTTACGTGTATCCGTTGCTTCTTATGCCTTGCCAAATTGCGTTCCTGATGGCACTCGTCGCTTTCAGTCATCGCATGTCCTCTCTCATCATCATGTATGCCCTCTCATCCGCTCCCGACCCTCTCAGCGCTTGTGGTGTACAGCACGCAAGGGCGGCAGCTCACTCGCACCATTCCACACAACGAGGCAAGCAACGACGCCACCTGCATGTGTTCGCTTCAAGACCTCGTGTAGAGCTCTCTCTTCTCACGCCCTGTCCTTCACTACGCTACTGCCACGGTGCCACTCTGCTAGTCACGGTCAGCAGACACGAATGAAACACTCTCCAGCACCGTGTGTGCGCGGTGAGCCATGCACGGCTGGTCTCAACTGTCCCTCCCACACTCCCGCCACCACGCGAGCTCTTCATCCCTCCGCATCACTCACTGCTGCGTTCCGAAACAGTCTCCACTCCTCTTCCCTCCCCTTTGCTGCACTGCGCCCCATGCCATGCCGTGCCATGCCTCTCACCCCGCATCCGCAGTTCTTCAACGCACTGCCATGGGTGGTGCAGCGGCGGGAGCCCTATAGCGTGTCCGTGTTTGGGGATAACATCGGAGACATGTCGTGCACCTATGACCACAGGGCTCGGCGCTTCTACCTCTCCTCCTACTGGCTGGTGGGTGCTTGGCCTTTCTGGGGCCATCCACCTGCTGCGCATGGACATTAGGGGGGTTGTGGTTTTATTCACTCACTGGAACAAAGAACGGCAGGGTAAGGTGAATGTAGCAACATTTGTGGTCTGTTCTGAAAGGACAGTAGCAAGCATCGACAAGCAAAACGCATCCACCATGACTCGAGTTTGCTCTTCCAGCATTCCTATTTTTCTGTATTCCTCGCCCCCTATCCCCATCTCTGTCCGCTTCTTTTTCCCCCTCTCTATCCCCCTCTCCATCCCCCTCTCTATCCCCCTCTCTATCCCCCTCTCCATCCCCCTCTCCATCCCCCTCTCTGTCTCCCGCTCTGTCCCCCTCTCTGTCCCTCCCTCTTCTCCTCCTCGCCTCTCAGTCTGGTGGCGCCAGCAACACGTTTGACGTGTTCGGGCAGACGAGGGTGCGTGGTAACCGCACGGTGGGGTCGGGGGTCATAGTGGCGGCGTCAACACAGGCCGACCCCACCGGCCCTTGGAACGTCTTCTTCATCCCTGGCTCGTATGTCCTCGTCTTGCCATTCCTCCCCTTGTTCAGTAATCGTTGCTCTGTTGCTCTGGAGTGCATGTAATGTGTCAATGGGTGTATTGCTGCACATGCTTTTGTAGTGAAGTGCCAGCTGTGACTGACTCTGCCAACCCAGCTGCACCAGTCCTGGCGCATACCGCTGCTGCCCACTAGTCTGCTTCCCAGCAGCCCTGCTCCTCCCTTGCGAAGCCCCTTAACGCCCGTTCCACAACGGGCCTTGCAGCTACAAGCTTTGGAATGCGATGACAGGTGTCTGTGGTGAGACATCCAGTGGTGTGGCTACCAAGTTTCGCTCTTGAGCTGACCTGACGTCCACTCTCCGTGTGGATCCCATCTGCCGTGTGCTGTTTGCACTGCTCGTCTGCTCCACATGGGCATGGGCATGGGCATGGGTGTGGCATGGTTTTGCGTATGCCATGACATGGCATGGCATGGCAGCAATGACGGCAACAACTCCAACCCCGACTGGAGTGCACCTCTCTTCTACAACACATCGCAGCTCACAACTCTCCGTGAGATTTTCGGTTTGCGCTTTGGCCGTTGTTATTGCCATGCACACATTTAGCGATGATCAAGATGTCTAACAACTGGCCCCTCTGTTGTTTTCTTAGGAACTCAGCAATTGTCTTTTGCACACTCTCTCTTTCCTTCCGTCGGGTTCACCTCCCTCTTGGTTCACCTCCCACTTGGTTCACCTCCCTCTTAGTTCACCTCCCTCTTGGTTCACCTCCCTCTCGGTTCACCTCCCTCTTGCTTCACCTCCCTCTTGGTTCACCTCCCTCGCAGTGCACCATCGTGATAGTGATCTCCTGTTCAACTAAAGCTAAAGCCACTGCGCCACCATGTCCCCACACCTAGTCCTGCTCACCTTAACCGCTGCCTCTTGTTTGTTGCCCCCCACCTCTCCTTCCTGCTGGCATGGGTGGGCCTGTTTCTTCGTCCCACCTGCGCAGAGGACTACCCGCAGATCGGCACCGATGCCAATGGTGAGCGGGATTGGGGCAGTGGCCGACAAGTGAAGGTCAGGGGCATTCGTGTGCTGGAAGTAGGGCGGGCCTGGGTAATTGCTGTCACACTTGTTTCATCCATGCCTCCGGAATGGGTTCTCTCCGTGTTTCACCCCCTTGTGCACCACTTATCCACTCCCATCATCTCACTTATTTGTCCCCATTGCCTCGCTTCTCCTGCCCTCTGCCCCGCAGGTCTGTTTGTGTCGGTGAATCAGTTTGGCCTGGAGGAGTCCAAGTACTTTGGCGCCAACATCTAGTGAGTGCACGGGCAGCATGCACGGATGGGTGGCACCATGGTCAGAGGACAGAGCGGGCATCGAGTGGTGGTGATGTGGGAACATATATGTGCCATATCATTTGCATGCTGCCATGAAATGCACATGCTGTGCCTCACATGGAAGAACAAACCCAAAACTGTATTCAAACCGCATGCGTTGTTGTAATTCGCCCGTCCATTCCTCGCATCCAACCCCATCTTCCCCAACGTCCCCATCTTCCCCTCTGCTCTCCTCCCAACGCACCTCCTTCCTCGCAGTGCCATCTGCAAGGATCAGCTATCCCAGCCTCAGAGCGCGTCCATCCTCCGCTTCGCCATCCCCTACTCGCCCGCGCTCACCAGCCCCTCCTACACCGTGTACCCTCACAAAGTTCCTGCCGATGGCTCCTACGACTACTCCAACAGCGGCACCATGTATTTCGGCTGGATGGCCGTTAACCCCAATGCAGCACCGACTGAGACTGTCCTCGTTCCCAACTTCACTTATGTCGGAGCATTCGCTCTCACGGGTACCAGTGCGCTCGGCTCTTCCCAAGCCGTTGATCTTATCACGCCGCACATCGCAGCCGTCCAAACGCCACCGTTTTTCATGCCGATGCCGGTGAGGCAGAGGCCAGGGCCCACCCCCACGGCATGGCGGTTCAACCAGAGGGAGGCGGCAATAGACGCGTTTGCAGCGGGCATGCAGGCGGTGGTGCTGTTCCCACAGCAGCGCACCATGTGGCTGGCATTCACCTCCGCATTCGGCCCCGCTCTCGGCTCCTCCTCTGTGGTGCTTGCCAGGCTAAGGCTTTATTTAGAAAGGGTTGCATCTGAAGAGTCATCAGGGGAGATGGCATCGGTAGTGCCTGCGGAGGAGGTGTTATCTGAAGGACCTGTGGGGGAGGCGTCAAGTGGGGGGTGGTCGTTCCGGGTGGAGTTGGAGGGGTTCAAGGCCGTGGGCGTGCGGGGACAGGGCAACAGCCTGCTGCGACCAGCGCTGGCGCTCAACAGGTGAGAGGATGGCGTGTGCTGTCTGGTGGGTGGTGCTGAGTGTTCTGGGAACGGTGCTGAGTGTTCTGGGAGCGGTGCTGAGTGCTATGGGAGCGGTGCTGAGTGCTATGGAAGCAGTGCTGAGTGCTATGGGAGCAGTGCTGGGTGCTATGGGAGCGGTGTTGAGTGTTATGGGAGCGGTGTTGAGTGTTATGTGAGCGGTAGATCAGATGCCGAATAGTCCTCTGGGGGGTGAACCCTTCCACTGTCGCTGCCTGCACTCCTGGAGGGACAGCATGGGTGGGAAAGGAGGGAGATGAGGCCAATAGGGGGCTGGGTGGGGCAGTCGAGGTTAAGGAATAGGAGAGAAAGGCAAGGCATACCTGTGAGGTGATGCTTGCAGACAAGCATGCTTTGCCCCTTCCATCCCCTCACTCTCGAATCTTCCTCACAGGCGCGGCAGGGGCATGCTAGCAGCAGCACTGGCAGGCCCTTCATTCTACCCCTCTGCTGCCTATGCCCTCGTGGATGCGCGCCTCCGTGTTGGCGCAGTCACAGTGGCAGCACCAGGGAGAGCTCCCCTGGATGACTACTCTGGTGAGCGATCAAGTGGCTCCACGCACCCTTAGGAGGTGTGGAACCGGTTGCAGTTGGAGTAGCCAATTGTTTTCGTGTGGATTTTTTCTTAGTATAGTCCTGCTACGACAAGACTAGAGGTTGCAGCCATCTGCTGAATTGGCGGATTCTCCTTTCTGTCTCCTTACACATGCCCTGCCCCGCACCAGTTCTGACTCACCGACCCGCTTCCCACCTTTCCGCATCCCCATGCCCCCGCCTCCGCCTGCATGAAATGCAGGGTACCTGTTTGAGGAGCGCGTGATGCGGTACGGCGACTACCACACAGCCACCACGGACGAGCACGGCAACGCGTGGGCTGTGGTGGAGTGTCTGCCCGGCGTGCCGCGCACCGAGTGGACCAACTGGGCCACCTACATCTTCAAGGTCGACCTTTAGTCTAACGGTGCCAATAGGTGCTTAGTTTCTTCAATACACGGCATTCAAAGGACGCATGCCAAGCAGGGCCCAAAATTGGTTTTGGGCCTCCCTTTTGAAATCAGGGTCGCCCCGCTAAAATACCCTGTTGGCCAGGGTACCAAACACTGGCTGGCAGTCTGGTTTTTCTGGGTAGATTTTTTGCAGCCCTGTTTACACAGGGTCTTTTTATAACCACCCTGTTGGTCCTTTGCCTGTTCTTTTAAGCCATTGAATACAATAGGAGAAGTGTCCCTGAAACATTATAGGTTGTCTATCTAGGATCTTTCAGTCAAACATAACTTATGCAGTTACTGTAGACTATACATGCTTGTGCCTTAGAGGGTACAGCTCACTAGTCTATATTGTCTTGTATCTCACCTTTCTAATCATCATTACATTCTGATATGGTATCATCGTAGGTTAGGTCCTCTTCCTAGCCCGCACACGCTTCCGCCCCTAGGCCCTAGCCCCCATACGTTCTCGCCCCTAGCTGCCCCCCCTGGCCGTCGCGCTCGCTTCTAGCCGGCCCCCTGACTGTCGCGTCCGTCCCTAGCTGGCCCCCCCCTGACCGTCGTGCCTGCTCCTAGCCAGCCACCTGGCCGTACGCGCCCGTCCCTAGCTGACCCCCCTAGCCGTCGCGCCCGTCTCTAGCTGGCCCCCTGGCCGTCGCGCCCGCTCCTAGCCGGACCCCTGACCGTCGCGATCGCTCCTAGCCGGCCCCCTGACCGTCGCGCCCGTCCCTAGCCGACCCCTGACCGTTCGCGCCTGCCCCTAGCTGGCCCCCAGGCTGTCGCGCTCGCCCTTAGCCGGCCCCCTAGCCGTCGCGCCCGTCTCTAGCTGACCCCCTGGCCGTCGCGCCCGCTCCTAGCCGCCCCCTGACCGTCGCGATCGCTCATAGCCAGCCCCCTGACCGTCACGCCCGTCCCTAGCTGACCCCTGACCGTTCACGCCCGCCCCTAGCTGGCCCCCTGGCTGTCGCGCTCGCCCTTAGCCGGCCCCCTAGCCGTCGCGCCCGTCTCTAGCTGGCCCCCTCGCCGTCGCGATCGCTCCTAGCCGGCCCCCTGACCGTCGCGCTCGCCCCTAGCTGGCCCCCTGGCTGTTCGCGCCCGTCCCTAGCCGGCCCCCTGGCCGTTCGCGCCCGTCCCTAGTCGTCCCAGCCGCCCCTCGCCGTCGCAGCCGCCCCTAGCCGCCGCCGCTGCCGTCTCCAGCCGCCTCACAGTCGCTCCTGCCGTCGCGGCCGCCCCTAGCCGCCGTCGCAGCTGTCCCTGGCCGCCGTCGCGGCTGCCCCTAGCCACTGTCGCGGCTGTCCCTGGCTGCCGTCGCGGCCGTGTCTACTTGCCGCCCGCCCGCCGGCCCCTGCATTCGCGCTGTCGCCGGCCCGCCGCTGCCTCGGGTTCGGCCCGTTCTTCCCGATCAGCACCGCCCTCTGAACCCCCCCCCCCCCCGGTACCGTACTGCATCGCTTTGCACCGCACTGCACCGCTTTGTACCCCACTGAACCGCTTTGCACCGCACTGCACTGCACTGCACCGCACTGTACCGCATTGTACCGCACTGTCCTACTCTACACTGCCCTCTATTGTCACTGATGGCGGCGGTGCTTTGCTTTGACGCTGAGGGCCAGCCGATTGAGTTTGATGCTTGGCTTGCTGACCTCCGTCGCCATCTCATTGGTCAGCGGCAGGATGGCCACTCGCTGTCTGTCCATCTTGATGGTACCCTCCCCTGCCCTGACCCCCCCGCTGCACTGTCTCCTGACCCCTTGTCCGCTGAGCATGAGTCCGCTGCAGCCGCTGCCCTTGCTCGCTCTGTCTGGCTGTCCCGTGACGCTGTTGCACAGCTTGCTATTAGCAATGCCCTCCCCCCGTCCGAGCGACCTCGCTTCAGGTCTATCACCATTGCCCAGGCTTTCCTAGATGCTGTTGTCCAGCGCTATTCCACCCCGCCTGCTGCCTCGGTCGGTCGTCTGATCCTCCCCATGCTCTTTCCTGACCTTGCGTCGTTCCCCACTGTCGCTGACCTGGCCGCTCACCTGCGCACCATAGACGAGACCTGGCATGCTGCCTGCACCCCCACACAGCTTCTAGCCCACCAGCCGCCCCTCACCTCTACTCTCTACCTGCTAGCCACCTGCTTCCCTGACCGTCTTGCCACTGCCCGTGACTGCTTTCTTAGCGTCCACCCCGCAGACCTTACCCTCAGTGACTTTGTTGACACCCTGTCCGCTATAAAGGCCCGCCACCACTCAATCGCTCAGACCAACAGTACTGTGCCAGTCCCTATCTTTCAGGGTTGTGCCCCCGCTCAGTGCACCTTCTCCGACGGTTCTGCAGCTGTGGCTGAGACTGCCGATGCAGCACAGGTTCGTTCGGGGAAGGGTCGCCGCCCCAAGGCTGGACGTGGCGACGGGGGTGGGGGTGCGGGTGCAGGTGGTGCTAAAGTTGGGTCACCTAGTGGTGGTGCTGACTCGGGGACCCTGATAGGTGCAGCCGAGCAGCCGTCTCAGCAGTCGCCGGTGTTGCAGCCGGACCCGCGCCAGCCGCAGCCGCCGCAGCTGCAGCCGTCGCCGCAGCCGCAGCAGTCGCAGCAGCAGCAGAGGCGGACGAGTCGTTTTCCACCTGGGTGGCCCGGCGCTGGTGGCAGCGCTGGACGTGGTGGTGGTGCGCGTGATGGGCTGCCGAGTGGTGGTTCAGGTGCCGCGCGCTGTCAGTACCTACTTCAGACCGGTCCTTGCCATGGCTTCGTTTGCGGTAAGATCGGTCATACCTCCGTCCGCTGTTTCCGTCGCCTGGACGACCTGTTTCGTCAGCGTTTCGGCCCGTCGCCCGAGCTCCCAGACTGGCACAGCTTGCTTAGTCGTAGGGTTCAGATTTTTGATCTGGAAATGGATGAGATTGTTGCTGCTATGCATGTGATATATGCTGATGACTCTAGTGTGCTTCCGTCTTATTACCCCTTGTTGCCTAGTGTAGGTGTGCCTTCCTTAGACTCCCCTGCATGCTTCAGGCGTAGGATCCCCTGCTTTGTTTAGCCTTGGTGCTTCCGTCGCTACTTCGCCTCTGGCCGCCACTGCCACGCTTTCCTTCACCCTCGACTCTGGCGCTTCCCGGTGCTTCTTCCGCGACTCCACCACGTTGACACCGCTTCCTATCCCTGCCGCCGTCTCCCTGGCTGACCCCTCTTCTGACCCTGTAGTCGACCGCAGTTCCACCACCCTCCCTTGCCCAGAGGTTCCTTCGGGCTCTCTCACAGGCTTGCACATCCCCTCGTCCTCCAGGAACCTAGTTGGTGTCGGCTGCCTCCAGGACCTTGGCGTCACCACTATGTTCCCTGGTCACGAGCGGTACGCTGTCTGTACCGAGGCCGCCTCTGGTGCCCCCCTTACCACGTTCCCCCAGGACCCAGTGTCCGGACTGTTCACACTGGACACTGTGACCCCCCCGACTGGGACCCCCCCTCAGGTGGCTGTGTCTACCCAGGTTGCTGCTGCCTGCTCCTGTCGGTCACTCACCCACCCGACTCTCCTGTGGCACCACCGTCTAGGTCACACTGCGCTCCCGCGTCTGCGTCACATGTCACAGCACGGTCTCGTCCTAGGCCTCCCTGGGTCCTTCTCTGAGTTTCCCTCCTCCCCCGCCCCACCTTCCACGCCTTGTGTCGAGGGCCGGCTTCGCCGTGCTCCTCACTCCTCCTCGTTTCCCCCTACCGCCGCACCGCTATAGACTCTGCACATGGACATCTGGGGCCCCTCCCCCGTCCATGGGCCGCGTCGAGAGCCCTACTTCCTAGTGCTTGTCGAGGACTACACGCGCTACACCACTGTGTTCCCCTTGGAGCGGAAGGCCGACGTGCTTGACGTTCTTATCCCGTGGCTTGTCCCTGCGCGTGTCCGTCGCGGTCTCCCTGTCTTGCGCCTCCACTCCGACCGTGGTGGCGAGTTTGCCTCTGGTATCCTTGGTCGTTTCTGTCGTGCGGAGGGCATCACCCAGACGTTTACCTTGCCGGACTCCCCGTAGCAGAATGGGGTCGCTGAGCGACGCATTGGTTTGGTCATGGAGGTGGCTCACACCTCCATGATCCATGCCGGTGCACCCCATTTTCTGTGGCCGTTCGCAGTTCGCTAAGCCACTCACCAGCTTAACCTGTGGCCGCACCCCCAGCAGCCTCAGGTTTCGCCGACCCTCCATTGGTCTGGGTCACCTGGTGACGCGTCTGCGTTTCACGTCTGGGGCTGTCTTGCTCACATTCGTGCCTTTGGCACGGACAAGCTCACTGTGTCGTCCTCCGCTTCCCCCTTGACGCGTCTGACTGGCACTTCTACCACCCGCCGTCTCACAGGTTCTTTCACTCCCGTGACGTCACCTTTGACGAGTCCGTCTCCTTCTTCCGCCGCTTCCCCCACTGAGGTCCCCCGGTTACCCCTCCCTTGTTCTTGGTCACCCCTTCCCCGGTCGTCGCTGCCCCTCCTCCTCCCCCTCCCCGTCCTGCCCCCTCTGGTGTGTCCTACGTCACCCCACTTACGTCGGTTGTACCGGTTGAGGAGTCTACTGACTCTGGTAGTGCTGCGGCGCAGTCCTCGCCGCCTGCCCCTTCTCAGGTGTCCCCTCCTCCGCCGCCTCCGCAGCCGCAGTCGCCACCGCTGTCGCAGCTGTTGTCACCGCCGCCGCCGCCGCCACAGCCGTAGTTGCGACCGCCGCTGCCGCAGCCGTCGCCGCAGCAGTTGGTTGCCTCTGGGGGTGCTGGAGTTGGGGTGGGTACTAGTCCTGGGAATCCTGTCGTGGCTTGTCCCGGCGGGCCTGGGGGTGGTACCGGTGCTCGAGGGGTTCTGAGCTCTGGGGGTGTTTCTTCTGGGGGTGCTGGTGTGGAGTGTTGTGGAGGTAGCCGCCCGGCAGCTTGCGGTCCCGGTGTCGGCTTCACACCGCCGTCACAGCAGTCCCCACCGGTGTCCGCTCTTCGCCTGCTCGGCCTTCCGTTCCCCGACCCCGTGCTTGTGCCTCCTCCTCCTCTCGTCTACGGCCCTGTGTTCCCTCCTCCGGACTCGTCTCCAGCCCGGTTCCCCCCTCGTTCCCCTCCTGTGTCTCCTGACCTCACTCCTCCGTCTCACGTCTGGTCTCGCCGTCCCTCTCGTGCTCGCCCTGTCTCCCCTGTCTCGCGTTCTCACCCTATGTTGCTTCGTTCCCACGCGTCTCGTCCTCCCCTTCTCTCGTCGCCTCCTCCGTCCTCCCTTGTCGTTGCTCCCCCCCCTCTGTCT